TCTTTTTCAAAAGAGGTCTTACAAACACTCTGTTCTGAATGTAACAAGCTGTGTTGATTGCTTCTGCCCAAAAGTGTTTTGCCAGATTTGTCTCATTGATCATGGTTCTGGCCATTTCTTGCAGAGTCCTGTTTTTCCTCTCTACAACCCCATTTTGTTGTGGAGTTCTAGGACAGGAAAAATCATGAGCAATGCCATTTTCAGAAAAATATTTTTCAAAATATTTATTTTCAAATTCACCCCCATGATCACTTCTGACTTTTATAATTTTGAAATTTTTTTCAATCTGGACTTGCTTGCAGAAGTCAAAGAACACAGAATGTGACTCATCCTTGTGTTTTAAGAACTTTACCCATGTCCATCTACTATAGTCATCAACAATGACTAATCCATACTTCTTGCCTCTGATGGATGCAGTTTTCACTGGTCCAAACAGATCAATATGAAGTAGTTCTAGTGGTTTGGAAGTAGAAACAACATTTTTTGATTTAAAAGATGTTTTTGAAAACTTCCCTTTTTGGCATGCTTCACAAAGAGCATCTGAAGTGAACTTCAGATTAGGAAGTCCTCTGACAAGATTAAGTTTATTAATCTGAGATATACGTCTCATATTAATATGGCCCAATCTTCTGTGCCAGACCCATTGCTCTTCATTAACAGACAAGAGGCATTTAACATTTTGAACTTTAAGTTCTGAAAGATTTATTTTATAAATGTTGTTTTTCCTCTTACCACTAAATAGGATAGAGCCATCCTTTTGACATATAGCTTTACAACATTTTTGATTAAAGGTAATATCATAACCATTGTCACTTAATTGACTTATGGACAATAAGTTATGTTTTAGGCCTTCAACAAGTAAAACATTAGTTATAGAGGGAAGTTTACCATTTCCAATAGTGCCAGATCCAATGATCTTGCCTTTCTGGTTCCCTTCAAACTTCACGTCACCTCCAGATCTAAGTTCCAGGCTTTGGAACATAGACCTTTCTCCTGTCATGTGTCGTGAGCATCCAGAGTCCAGGTACCATGACTGGCGTCCGAATCTTGCTGCTAAGAACATCTGCAACAGGGATTATTTTGTTCTTAGGTACCCAGATCTTCTTGGGTCCTTTAGGGTTAGTTGGTTTGTAGGTTTGTCTAAACTTCTATTTTTCAACATAATGTTTATTCTGACTTGCCTTGGGTTTAAACACATAAGTATTCTTCTCAGAGCTTGTGTGTTTAATGTCATTTAAGTGACCAAACTTAAATTGAGAGCACAGAGGTGTCTTCTTGATGAAAAGTTTGTCAACAGATTTTGGATTACTTCCAGAGGAAGATTCATATCCAATACCTCTTCTGTTATTCCCACTAACACCATAGATCATAGAAGCCATCTTGCTTCTGTCTATGCTCTTAGTAAGGAATCTCTGAAAGCTAGATTCATATTTTTCTAAAATGTTTTCACATGACTTAGTCTCAGATTCAGATTCTTGTTGAGTTGTTTCAAAGTCACTTTTGATTTTCAGATTAATTTCTTTTTGCTCAACAAGTTCTGTCTTCAGAAGATCAATCTCAGATTCAAGACTGCTTTTCAGCTTCTTGTATTTGAGTTTGATATTGTTATAACTTTTCAGAACTTCTGATAAAACTTTTATCAGTTCTTCTTTAGTAAGTTTAGCCATTACCTCTTCAGCGTCATCGTCAGATTCAGAATCTGATTCATATCCTGAGGTTCCTTCCTCCTGATCTTCTGTGCTGGCCATCAGTGCAACATTGGCACATTCTTCTTCTGATTCAGAAGATGATTCAGATTCATCTGAGTCATCCCATGTTGCCATCAAAACCTTCTTCTTTTTGTCAACCTTCTTCTTAGGTTTTTCTCTTTGAAGTTTGGGGCAATCATTCTTATAATGCCCAGGTTCTTTGCACTCATAGCATACAACTTCTTTCTTGCCAGATCTTCTGTGCCCAAAAGATTCCTTTCTATGATCAGATTTTCTGAAGTTGTTGAACTTCTTTCCCTTGTGCTTCCAGAGCCTTTTGATCCTTCTGGACAGCATGGATAATTCATCTTCTTCTTCAGAAGAAGATTCTTCAGAGCTTTCTTCAATAACCTGCAAAGCTTTAGCAGATTTATTAGATTTTAAAGCAACAGATTTACCTTTTTCTTTCTTCTGAGGTTCATCTTCCTCAAGCTCAATTTCATGGCTCCTAAGTGAGCTGATGAGTTCCTCTAAAGAGATCTTGTTCAGATCTTTAGCCATCTTCAAGGCAGTCACCATTGGTCTCCATCTGGTAGGTAGACTTCTGATGATTTTCTTTACATGATCTGATGTAGAGTATCCCTTGTCCAGAACCTTTAGACCAGCTGTAAGGATCTGGAATCTAGAAAACATAGTTTCTATATTTTCAGATTCTTCCATTTTGAACGCTTCATACTTCTGTATAAGCGCCAGAGCCTTGGTCTCCTTCACTTGAGAATTTCCTTCATGAGTCATTTTAAGTGACTCAAACATTCCATGAGCTGATTCTCTGTTAGTAATCTTTTCATACTCAGTATGAGAGATTGCATTAAGCAATATTGTCCTAGCCTTATGGTGATTTTTGAAATCCTTCTTCTGGGCTTCTGTCATTGATTTTCTGTCAACTTTCTTGCCATCCTCATTTGTAGGATGTTCATAGCCATCAATAACCAAGTCCCACAAATCAGCATCATACCCCAGGAAGAAACTTTCTATCCTGTCCTTCCAGTAATCAAATTTTTCTCCATCAAACATGGGAGGCTTTGTGCTGATTCTATCCCCTTCATATTTGTTACAGTTGGATGTAGATGTGTCACCCATAATGACAAACAGATATTTATCAAAGTAACTTTTCTCACTGGATCTTTACTGACACGGTTAAGTGGTAGCACACGCAGAACCGGAGCTCTGATGCCAACTGAAGGTGAGAAAATTACTTAGAAGGGGGGTTGAATAAGTATGACAAATAATCAAAGATATAAACACAGTTATTTTTATCCTGGTTCGTTGAACTCAACTACTCCAGTCCACCCTCTCAAGAGTGATTTTCCTTTCTCAGTCAAGGACTTAATCCACTATTTAATCAAACAGATTACAATAGTAACACCTAAGAACAACTGTTCTTAGTCTTCTCAAGAGCTACTGATCCCAACTGGATCCTCTTAAGGAAAACCTTTTACAATCAATGTAAAACTATTACAAGAGTAAGAATGCTTCTAAGAAGCTGTTATCACAACTGTGATATTTCTCTTAAGTTTAAGAACAATGTTACAACAAAATAAAATATATGAGCTTTGAGAGATTTGCTTTTGATAAGAGATTTTTGCAAGTGGTTCGTTACTGAAGAAGATGGAGTGGACTTCTTTATATAGGCACATAGATCCATGAAGTCTGTGATATTTCTCTCAACGTTGAAGACTGTGCTGAAAAGCCTGGAGCCTTTTGTCTTTACATTGTAGGCTGTGCTGAAAAAGCCTGATGCCTTTTGTCTTCACTTTGCAGAAACTTTCCTTAGAATGTAATGCACAAATAAAACCTTTTTGTCTGTGTTCTTGTGTCTAGCACAAAAGAGGAAAAAGCTGTTGAGATATGCCAACGTACATATTCAAATCTTCTTCACTAAATAAGTTCAGCTATCAACATTAGAGTCTGGATCTTCAGAATCTCTAGAGTAGAGATCTTCTGGATCTTCAGAGTCCTGGGATGTTCTTCAGATTGTGCTGAATCAGAGTATGTACAGCTTGTGTGCTTGAGCGTGTAATTCTGTCAGAGCAGAGTCTTCTATATCAGATTCTCAATACTTATGCAGCGCAGTATCTTCAGAGTCTTCTGATGACTAAGCTTCTGATCTCTCAGAGTCTTCTATTCTTTAGAGGCTTCTGCTTCAGAATCTTTAGTAAATAGCACTCAGATTCTTCTTGAGGCAGCGTTCAGATCTTCATTTAAGATGCTCTTGAACCTTTGAATCCTTTCATAATATCATTGTTCAGGTCCAAATTTGCTCTTTAAGAATATTTTCTTTAGTACCTGTAGCAAACAGTCTAGAACAAATTTAGAGTATATAATTCTTGAATACAAAATTCATAAGTGTTATCATCAAAACAGAGATATTACTAAGAAACAATCTGTGTTCTTACAAAATAGTCCAAAATAAATATGCACAAAACAAATTACGCCAAAAACTTAATGAGACCGAGATCACTAACAAATCAAAAAAATAAAATAAATCAAATAATCGATGGAAATACCAACAAAACCCTATAAAGAAATTCCAAAATTTGCAATCATAACAAATTATCAATTGATTCAATATATTTTTGACAAAGAATTACATATATTGACCAATTAACAACCATGTTCTAGAAATATATCATCAACTACAAGTTTGACCATTAAGAGTTTCCAAACAAAAACATATTTAAAATGTGGGATTGTATAACATCCCTAGTTTACATGATTATCCATAAGCTTACAAAATAAATAGACATCTTTAGAAGTAAGAATGTTAGAATTATACCCCATCAGTTTTATGAAATTTGGTCAGTTGAGCATGAATATGAACACTTTTTTACTCTGGTTGAGATATTAATCAAGAAAACATTACTAACTTATCATTTTTAATCGGTTTACTGGAAGGACCTTCCAATTAACACACGACAAAGGCAAAGATAAGGGCAGAGTTGTCCTTTCCGAAACAATTAATCTTCTGTGTAAATAAGATTTAAAGGAATGGAAGAGAATGGTGGGACTATGGAAGTGACTTGTACTTGACTCCCAAAGTAGTTGTCTCTAAAACAGCAAGAGTAAAGACAGAAAATTATCAACACTACCACTCTGAGCACTACTCTACTCTCCCAACCATATCACTATTCAACCACTCCAAACGATTCTCTTCTCTCTCCTACAACTTCAATTCGAATGCTTTGTTTTATTATCTCATTCTTCCCTCGCTCTTAAACATATAGGGCTATTTTTGGAATTTCCAATCTTTTCATGGATCCAGCGCCAATAATCAACGCTGCTCCCAACACGCTGTCGTTTCACCCACCGGAGATCTGGCAGTTCCCACCCTCGACAACACCGCAGTTCGAGCATGGTTTCGGAGCTTTCGCAACGGAAGTTCCCGGTAGAGAATTGGTTGGTTCTGAGCTCAGACTTCCGAACCGTGGCCGGAAAAGGCGCGACACGGAGGAGGATTCTGTTAAAGGCGTTTCCACCAGCAACGACGTGGTAATTTCTCATTCCAATATACGATAAAGTTTGTGTTATAGTAAGTGGTTAGGTTTCAATTGCATAATGAACTTCGGTTAAAGTCTAATTAAAGGGTTACTGCAAGATGTAGGAGTTGATTTTCCTTTAAAATTTAAGGGTTAAGACAAAAAAAAAAATTAATGTGCAATTCAGTACTATAATATGAAAAATGGATAGGTTTCTTGCAAATTGATGAAAGAATTATTTTATTTTGGTTGGAATGAAACTCGAGTTTTGTTATTGGAGTTGAGGTAGTGAATTTGGGTTTGTGCAGAATGGTGATGGTGGTGATGATGGAAAAAGGATTAAGACATCATGGAAGAGTAAAGATGAGGAAGTAGTAGGAGACGAAAACAGTTCAGGAAAGCATGCGGAAAAAATTACGGAAGAGCCACATCCTAAGCAAGATTTTATTCATGTTCGAGCTAGAAGGGGTCAAGCTACTGATAGCCACAGTCTTGCCGAAAGAGTATTTTCCTACTCCTTAATTCTCACTAACTGCCCCTTTTAATTTTGTTATTATTGTATGTATCGATAATAGTATATCTCGAGATTAGCGATTTGGATAAAAGTATTGTTTTGGATAATGGATAAAACATTATGGCTGAAGTTGATTCATGTAGTTGACCCCACGTACCGGGATAAGGCTTGGTGATTGTTGTTGTTGTTGTTGTATGTATTGATAAGAATAGATTATAGAATTTGATCCTGGAAAACACTGTTTGCTTGTGTTGTTTTCTTCTTTTTCCTTTGTAAAGTTGACAACTTAGATTCAATAGGCTGAAATTGTCAATAAGTTGAGAACTTCAAAAGGACCAAATTCGTATATAAGTAAAAAATACTCATATTTGGTAGTCTTGAATACAAGTAAATTTAAATACTTGAGTTATATTTATCGGTGATAGAATTAGAGTTTGACCTAACTCAATCCTACAAAATTGGTTGGTAAGGTGAGAGGTGCCACTCTATAAATCCTTTGTAGATTGTATCTTTAACCAATGTGGGACTTGAGTTTTTTCCAATAATCGATATCATTTTTTAAAAACCTTCTAAACTAGTAGAAGTGTTTAGAAAGACTCTTTCTCATAAAAGGCAGTTTTGACTTTTGAGAATGTACATATTTTTATGACATCAAGAAGATTAATTACAGTTAACTAAATTTTTTAATCATTGAATAATTGATGTATCTAGTATATATATAGTCAAAATACTTCATTTATTCAATTCAATGAATCTAAAAAGTTAAAATTTGCTTATGATAGAGAATGGAGAGAGTATGAGGTAGGTACTTTTGTTCTGCATATAATTGAGATCAAAATGAGTATTTGTTCAATATTGTTTTAGTTTTAGGTAACTTTTGTGTATTTATTTCTAAGGATCTTTTTCTTAACTGTGATAGTTGTTATTTAGGGGCTGGCACGATGACTCAACTATAGGGCGTGTCATGCTATCTGAAAATTCCCTTTAAATATTAAGTTAGGAAAATGAAACTGTTATGGAAATGGGAGGAAATATTGAATTATTGGATATTATGCAATTGGAGTTATTGACTTAGTTTTCTAATGAAATACCGGTGGACACTGACAGGCTAGAAGAGAAAAGATTAGTGAAAGGATGAAAACTCTTCAAGATTTAGTCCCTGGTTGCAACAAGGTATGGTTATCTTACTGGCTGTAGAGTTTTGTCTTTGCTCTCACCACATTTTTAGGTGTATAACTATAACACAAAAGTAAGCATAAAGGAAGAAGAATAAAAGGTGTTGCTTTTCATATGAAAAAAAAAGAACAAAATCATCCGTGAATATTTTGTTTGTAAATCTCTGATAAAGATTAGTTGATAGTATCTTATATTCCTTATGGCTGGTTGATTTGTTTTTTTATTATGCAGGTTATTGGGAAAGCATTGGTCCTTGATGAGATAATCAATTATATCCAATCACTTCATCACCAAGTAGAGGTGTGAATTATTTATCTGATGTTGTCACTCTTTATTATCAAAATACAATTATAGTTTACTTCTGAGTATTGTAATTTTAAATATTCATCACAGTTTTTGTCGATGAAGCTGGAAGCAGTAAATTCAAGATTGACACCTGGTATTGAAGTGTTTCCTCCTAAAGTTGTAAGTATTTAACACCATCCTTACATTTTGACATTGAATTCTATATTTCTAAAATCCAAATATCTTGAAAGTTGGTTTTATCCATTTTATTTATATCATGTCCATTGGCGAGTTGAGTATAACTGCACTAGTTATAAATCTTTAAAACCTTGTTATGCTTACAGAAAGTGCATTTTAAGTGGAAAAGAAATCAACAACACAAAGAAACGGTTTTAGTTTTTTCCATTAAACGATTGAGAACTAAAGTCACTCCAAAATATTTTAGTGACCAAAATGCACATAGCATAAATTAGAGGGTTTAAAAGTGTAATTAAGTCTCCACATTTTAAGCTAAATCTATCTCCATTCTCACGAGAGATTAACTTGTGTTTCAGTTTGATCAGCAAACATATGAAACAACCCCCATACCATTTGTTTCACAAGCTACAAGAGAGTACAGCCGGGGTTCATCACCAGAGTGGTTACATATGCAGGTGGGAGGTGGTTTTGAAAGGTCGACGTAATCTTAAAATTTCAGCAGTTGGTATGCAAATAGCAATTTTATTGTCTACTTCAGAGCTCCCATAAATCATATACTCAAGGTATAAAAGTCGACATGAACACTACTTGATTCCTTTTTCTAAACCACACTGTCGCTACGGTTAGTATTTATGTAAGCAACACCATTTGTAAGTGTGTTGGATATGAATTCATTTACAGAAGATGTAGCTCAGTGGACTATAGGCTTTATATGCTGGCATTCTTCATAACTTTAAAATTATCATTGTTGTTGTAAGAGAATGATGCTTGTTCTTAATACATATTGGTTATATATTGTATATTGGTCTCAACATTCATTTTTGTAGATTCAACATGGTTTTTTGTTTGTGAAGTTATGTTGAAAAAGTTGAAAATTTTGATGGTTATGATTCTCGTGACTCGTGAGCATGAATTAAATATTGTCATAACAAATTTTAAAGAAAATGAATTGGTATTAGAAGATTAGTTTTTGAATTTCTTAAGTGAGAATGTTCTTTATTGTCTAAATTTAAGTTGCAAATATCTTTCTTGTTTAAGCTTTTATAATTTGATTGTGTCAACTCAAGCTTAGATAGAAGTTTTGGTAGTGGAAGACTTCGATCAAGATTATAAGGAAGCAAAGATGGTTGCATGGCAACTCTGATGTGTCCATATTCAGGAACTCAAGCCATTTTATTTTTCTTCTATTTTTATTGATTACAAATACCAACTTATCGTTAGGGTTTAAGGTGCCACCATGGTTTATCTAAAATAGATTTTTATTTTTCTTCTATTTTTATTGATTACAAATACCAACTTATCGTTAGGGTTTAAGGTGCCACCATGGTTTATCTAAAATAGATTTTGAAAAATTGTCATCAAAGAAATTATTTAGTCAAGTTGTGGATTAGTTTATTCTTTTTTAAGATGTTTTGCGACACTATTTAAATTTGAGCATTTAACTTCCTCACTTGAACTTGACACCTACCAAAATCATTTCACTCACTTTTCAAATTTATAAGATCCATGTGCGAATCTCAAATATGGGGCAATAATGAAAATTGAGTAACAACGTTAAAAATTTGGAAAACAATACTTTTATTATCGTAAATGACATAATTTCTGGGATTTTGTATTGCAAATTTTAAAATTTTCGATATTAATTCTAACATTTTAATCGGAAATTTCAAAAATTTTGATACAAAATCCCATGAAAATTTTCAGTAGTTATAAAATTTTTGTTTTTTACTGGAAATTTCAAAGTTTTCCGATAGTTCTAAAAACTGTCTTTTATCGGAAATTTTAGAATTTCTGGTAATTATAAAACTTTGTTTTTTTTATCGAAAATTCTAAGTTTCCGGTGGTTGCTAATTTTTCTTTAATGTTTCCTTTTTTTGCAGTGAAATACAGAGGCAGAGACGACACTATTGCAGACAAAGCTACTGATAGAGCGACAAATCAGGTTAGGGCTGCTGAGGTTGAGTCTTTTCAGATACGGGATGAACGAGTGGTTCCAATCGGTTCACACCGGAAACAGTTGTCTGAGCAGGGTCAATTTCGCGCACCTTGTAGTACTCAACGCTGACATGTACGATCAGTTGAGCAGCTCAGAGATGAGGTGGAAGATGAGGTGGGAGTGCCAGATGCTGTTGTTCTAGACGAGGTTGTTGTTGGGGAGGTTGTTTAGGAGGTTGTTGTTGATGAGGTGGTTACTGAAGTGGTTGAGTCAGATATTGTTGTTGTTGATATGGTCTCATCTGTTACTGCTGACACAGAGGTTATAGCTCCTTCGACCGAACTCTCTATGCATTCTGACGAAGGATTTCTTGGAGGTAGAGCTGTCAAAATGGGCTACCCAACCCTAAACGGGCTGATCCTGGTGGGCTCAGGTTTTTAGGGTTGAGCCAAAAAATTCATTTCTAATTTAGACTCGAAAATTACTACCCCGAATCCGACTCTAGATGGACTTCGGGCTACCCCCTAAACAGACTCTTTTTAATAAAAAATTAAAATAAAAATGTCATAATATTTATTATAAACAAACTTAAAAATTATATTATTTTAAGCATAATATATTTTGAAGTACTATATTATCTTTTATAAATACTATAATGTGCTTTTAAATACAATACATGTCTAAATTGTATAAAATAATACTCGAATATTTAACATAAGAGAAACTAATAGAATACGAGAAAAGAGTGTTGATTATATTAATGCATAGTATTTAAAAGAGAAAGATTGAATAAGATATATATAAAATTTAGTGAGGTGAGAAAAATCAATGTGTTATTTTGGAGTAAGACAATATAAATATTAATATATTTTTTTAAAATTTATAGCGATGTGGGTCTAATGGGCTACCCACGGCCCATATGGGCTAACCCTAATGGGTAGTTGACTTTTTAGGGCTGGGATGAAAAAGTCGTGAAAAATATGGACTCTAATTTTAAGGCCCAAACCCTATAATTTTTCGGGTCTAGTGAGTCAGCCCATTTTGACAGCTCTACCTGGAGAACCCATTGACCAGTCGGTGTATACTGAGTATGCTGACCATGTGGCGATACGACTATGACAATGAGAGATATACATCTTTTATGTTTAACTTTAATTTGTTTATTATTGTGCCATGAAAGCTAACTGCTATTTTTTTTATATTTGTTTGTCACATAATCGTTCTACACTGAAGATGACATCACATTTGTCGAAGTTGAAGGACTTCCTGAAGATTCTGATTGCTGAGCAGGTCAGCCAGATTGTACGGGAGTTCGAGCTCCTTTATTTTGCCCACTGCTCCCTCACCATCTTGACGCTCCATTACTTACTGTGTTTGTTAAGAGATGGCACAAGGAGACATCTTCCGTTTGGGGAGATGACTATCAGTCTAGATGATGTCTCTTCATTGTTCCATCTCCCCATCGACGACAAATTCTGGACGATCTTGTTTTTAGCATGTTGCTTGTATGTATGACTGCTGCACAAGATTAAGGAGTTTCTGAGGCAGCCATGCAGAAGGAGTTTGGCATCAACAGGGGTGCTCACCTTCGTATGTCTTGGCTTCGGAAGACGACGAACTAGTAGCCGCTGGAAGTTATGAGGATGCCGCTAGGGTGTGCATGCTACATCTAATAACATGTATTCACTTTGCAGATAAGTCAGGTGTTTATATCAACTCCCGATACGTGTGTCTGTTCAGTAGCCTCGAGGTTAGCAGTTGGATTTGAGAGTGTGTTGCGTTGACCATTTTGTATACAACACTTTGAATGTTGATATTATTTGACACCAGACAACTTGCTGGTTATTTGAGTCTGTTACAGGTATACTTGAAATTATTATTTATTGTTGATTTCTTGTTTGATTGTTTCGAATAACATTTCTTATTTATCATTCGTTGTGTTTGTGCTTTAATATCAGTGTTAGATATACGAGCATTTCCCTACCATATGTGATAGAATAGTGCAACATTTCTCAGTGGGGGCCCCACGAGCAGGGAGATGGAAAGGCAGGCAGTCACATCTCGATAGTGTTGATGAGTACAAGAGGAATCTCGATGCGCTGATTGTAGATGATGTCATCTAGACATCATACACTATGAGTTCACTATGAGTTCGAGGAGTCTATATTATATTCAGGTTATATGTGGTGGGAGACCATGGTTGCTAGACACTTGCTTGAGAGGTGTCTACGACAGTATGGTTATGTTCATAGTATCCCACGACCAATTTCGGATATACCATCGGGCATTGGTTGGTGGTTTCAGAGTAACTTCATCAGCTCGGGTCGTGCCATTAAAGATTGAACAGTTACGGTTCAGCACCCTTTGCAGTGTGAGGATGGTTACTTAAAGTGGTACCTCACTATATTACACCCTTGCATCATCCCACTTGTTGAGAATACAAGTGATGTTGGGTCTTCTGATGCTAGGGTATTTGTTGATGATGTGTTGCTGCCGCTTCCTACAGTTGATGTCGATGATCAGCAGCGCCTCCAGATGATTGCATTTATTATGGATAACCTCATAGGTTTAATAAACCCATATGGCAAGGTTTATACTAAACTATCTTTGGCTGCACATAGCCTTTGGGGACCTATTTAGACATCTTTTATATATTATGTATTATTTGTATGTTACCCAGACATCTTCAACATAACCTTTTATTAGATAATATTTTTTGATCTCCCATTGATGCAACATCAACATTAACTAACATTTGACAATGAATTACATAACTTAATCATAACTTAAAAACAATAATAAATTAGAAAACCTAGACACTACCAGATGATTCTGGACAATTCATCATCTTAATTATGTCGTTGACGAACCCTTAAATCTTAGCATCTAACTCGATCGTCCCCTTTGTTATCCTACGATGAAATGATCTCCACATATCCTTTACATCTTCATCGGTCTTCAACGCAACAAAGTTGTATTTTACCCTCCCGTCATATCAATCCAATCTTCACGAAACTCGATCTTTCTCACCTTTCTGTTTTTGGTATCATCCAACAATTCATTCAACTTGAACGTCAGGATTGTGATAGATGTAATGCCATCTGATATGAAGATCAGTCATAATAATTTTTCATTTGAAAAGAAATTCAAATAATTCTTTAAAAAGAATTCAATAATTATTATTTGATCAATAGAATAATTTTTCAAACAAAAAAATTTAAATATTTTTTAAAGAAAATCTAAAATTTAAAATTAATAATCTCTCAACTCAAATTAAGAGAAATTAGAAAAAGGGTTGAGTCTATGGATTAAAGGATTGGGAATCAATCTTTTTGGGAGACATTTTGTGTAGTTACGGACAGAAAATGTAGTTCTATGTATGAGCTTGGCTCTATAGACATTAGGATATTTATCCGTTTGCAACTATTTTTCATTTACACGAATAATACACCGCTTTTTAAACATTTGTGCATTTTTATCTATTTCTTCCGGTAAGTTGCGGTGGTACGGGTACACAATACTATGCAGGCCAAAACATATCTTTTCTGCCCCACTCTGTTGAGCTATCTCAACAAACAATCGACTATCCAGGCCAAAACATATGTCTTCTTATCCTATATTTGTTATTTAATAATAATAATTTATAAACCGAAGGGATTGAGAATAGAACAGGATAAAAACAAAATGTAATAGAGATTTTTTGAGAAAAAAAAATCAAAAGATTTGATGTAATATTATGAAATGAAAATTTCATCATATTTTATTCAATTCCATCTATTATTTATAAATCCATACAATCAAAATTTGTTATTTACTACATTTTATTCCAGTCTCATCACTAATTACACCTACAAGTTCATGCCTAAGTTATCCAATTAAAATTGTAAAAGTTGAAACTTCAACTTCTATAGAGAGCCGATGCCCATTTTTCAAATTTAAGTCAAAAAGTAGAATTTTGTTTCCTCAAAATGCCATAAACATTGCCACTAGTTTGAATAAATAAATAAAAACAAAAAAATAAAACAAAGTTCAATTCTTCTAATATTCTTAACTTCTAGATTTATTAGTCACTAATAATCTTCTTTGCACAAGGGTGAAAAGTATTTTAAGAGATGTCACAAAAATACATTTGATAAATAGATTGTTCTAATAAATTATATGATAAACTGTTATTACATAGAGAAAATAACTTATCTAAAGGCAAATGTCTTTCACTAAGTCCACAAGAGATCCCCAAATCAGTTTATGTAGATAACAAGTAGGGTTCATATCGTTTATATGATTCAGAAGTTGAGAAGATGAATACAAAATCATGTAAATTGCGTAACTGTATTATAATTTTGTTAGTATATTAAGTAATTACAATAACTAAATAATTGAAAATCCTTGTATTTATGACTTATTGTGTAAATCACATCCTTTAGTGTGTAATTTAGACACCTCAATACCAAGGGTGCTTTTTTCAGCTGAACCGAATAAAATATGTACCTAAAGAAAAATCCATATGGAAACTACCATCAAACAAAATTTACAGAAAAGGTTTAGGCTACAGCACCAAATGAATTGTCCCCTTGGTTGAAACTATTCCCACTGGACTGGAAGTGAGAAGCTGCTGCCAATATTACACGCAGGATCAGAATTGCAGCAAATACAGTGCCGCCAATGTTGCAGATAACCTGCAATTCATATTCAATATTCAGTTATTCACCAATTGATGTTAGTTACTACTAGTACTTCATATTTCATAATGCATTTTCCAGTTATAAAGCAAAGAACTTTTGTGAAGAAAGAACTACAAAATTCCGGAACCAAACTTCAGGTTTTCGCGCTTATAACTTCTATGATCCCAAATTCATGTGAGTTAGCATATACTACACAAATATCTCAAACTTCACATTGTTTCAAACTACACATATTATCTCCTCCCACACAACTTGCCCGGACACTACCCGGGATCCATGATAGTATGAGAATCTACGAAGGTGTGCAATGTGCACGGAGCATAAGCAATGTGCAAATAATATTTCAATCCTTGTGTGCCAATACTAGTATGACAATACTATGATTTAGATAACAACAACAACAACAACCAAGTCTTGTTTCACTAAGTGGAGTCGGCTACATGGATCAACTTCCGCCATAATGTTCTATTCAGGATCATGCTTCTATCCAAGTTGTAAATCTTGAGATCTTTCTTAATAATTTTTCTTATAGTTTTTTTAGGTCTTCCTCTACCTCTTCTAGCATCATCCATTTTCTCTACTCTCCTTACCACAAAATCTACATATCTTTTGTCGACATATCCAAATCACATAAATCTATGATTTAGAGAGCACTGGGAGAAATATTCCGTCCTATACGTTTCTTGGTTTTGAAACCATTGTGGAACACGGCGATGAATGGAGTACATTTTATGATTTTATCCCTAGAAACTATAGAAAAAAATATTATCTGCACGCATTTTATCACGAGACCTCTCTTCCATCTCTTATTCACATCATGAAATGCTTGGTTACATTCAGTTGTGTTCATAAAAAGCAAAATGTTCATGAAGATAACTATAAAAGTGAAGTAAAACAAACTGAGGTTTCGAGTCTTTAGACTAGCCATAAACTCTTCATTAAGCCACACAATATTGTAGAACCAATAAATACCTCAAGAAGTGCTTTGACAACAGAAAGCGAAGCAAGTAGCAGAGTCCCATCAACAGCAAAAGAAACCTGAATTCCCCCGTCAACATAAAAAGCAAAAAGAGAAATCAGTCAATGAAACATTGAAAGATAAATTCCAGTGCCTAAAGGGAAACTAAGCCACATTCCACAATCATAAATAACTGCATGCTAGATTCATCTTAAATTAACTTCAATGCTAAATTAACTTTTTTCTTATCAATTATATTAACAGAGACACCAGAAATACGACACCGACACTGAGACATCGGCACCAGGAAAACTTACAAGCTGAGGAGAAAACACTGATGGCAAAACAGAACGAGAAGCCTTTTTAGCCTTTCTAGACATCTTCTTAAACATACTCTGCAAGAATTTAATCAACAAATCAACGCTACTCTCTGCATCATCTTCATCACTATCATCTTCAATTCCATCATATCTCCCAAAAACACCATCCATCTCATATGGTTCTCCTCCTCCACTTGAGTTATTCAGCTACAAATCACAGATAGTGTAAAGATATGAATAGAATTTCAACTAATTGTTGAGTTAAACTTTTATGAATCGTATCATGTGTTTATATATACCTTGCTATTGCAATTGATGGTTGTGAGATTTGAACGACGGTTGTGGATGAGTTTAGAAGTGAAGGGTTGGTGGTGAAGAATGTGGACATTGTTTGATGAGAAGTGGCGAAGGGTGGAGCGTGGAGAGCGCGTGGGATTGATCAACTGGGTTATTGTTCCTGTAGATGTTGTTGCTGCCATTTGAGACTGAAAATTGAAGATTTTGTTTTGATAAATCGTTGATATTTTTTTGGCTTTTTGGTGTCTGATGATGGGCTTTAGTATTAACCCGACCCAGGCTCAGCTAGAAGATTAGATTTTGGGAATTTCTTAAGTGAAAATTCTAAAATGTATATAGATTTTGAAGATATATCTTCAGACGCATCTGATTTTGATTTAATGTTAAAATGTTTCAGAGATAAATCTTTAAATTTATTTTGGAGATGTATCTCTATAAGATATTGAAGCTTAAATCGCGCAAGAATCATTTTCCTTCCTCATTTTTAAAAAAAACACAAAGTTTGCTCTAACTCTTTCAAAGTGTTTTCTCTCAACCAACTATCAAATCAAACAATTATGCTCATAGGTTCTTCAATCAACAACAAGTGCATCAGAGACATCATCAAAGTGTGAGATAAACTCTAAATTTGTAAGTTTTTTGATGTTTTGAATTTTTTTTGAATTTTTGTGTAAATGAGTAGAAATTGATGATTAAGGCAATAAATAAGTAGAACTTGCATGAATGATAATTTAGACGTAGTGTAAAACATGTTTGTTGGCTGAAAAAGATGATCAAACTATTATTTTAAGTGTTTGCATGTCTGCATTGCCTCCATTGACGCACCTGAGGTGTTGCAAAATTTTTTGAATATGCATCTCCAGAATTTTTCAACGTTTAAGTTTTCCAGTAACCGGAAATGCATCTCTGAAATTAGCAATTTGTTTTATATTTTGTTTTTCTTACTTTTAGTGTTGCTTGCTTGCACCAATTGTCTAATTTACTTTTACGTACATGCATTATGTCTGATAGACACGATAGACTGGTGTCATACCCCAATTTTGACCTTGAATCGCCGAATCAATATAGTTATCATGACATCTACATCATTTGCATAGCATAACATGTATCTCATCATGCATAATGCCCAAATTATCAGTCAGAATAAACTGTTGAATTTACAAGCGAATCGCTCAAACTAAAAGTCAACTGTGCGTAAATCAGTGGACGAAAAGTTTCAAAATTGAACTTGCAATCATCAGTTATATTAATCTACGTTTCACATGGTTTAACTTGGCGTGCTCGTTTTAATTTTTCTACTATTTTTCGGTCGCATTTTGATCCGTTTGAGTCTTTTAACCGGAGAAAATTTATTTCAAAAGTTGACCAAACATTGTATTTTTCCGAGTCGTTTATTTCGCTCTGATCATTTTAACGCATTCCTTTTATTTTTTCGAGTACTTCAATACCAGATTGTTTATTCGTTTTTAACCGATTTTATTTTAATTTTTAGTTAATTAATGTTAATCGGATTTTTATTTAGATTTATTTAAATAGTTTTTATTTTTATTTCTTTTATCACTTTTTTTTTAAAATAATATAAAATTTTGTTTTTATTTCTCTTTTTGGAAACACTTATTAAGTTTGGAAATGTTCATATTTTTTATTACTTCATTTTGGAAAGGCATGTATGTAATGCATTGCATGGAGACCTATTACACATCAGGACAAAGACCTCAGATACCAAGAAAGAGAATTCATTTTTTCATCTTCTTCCTACAAAACACGCCAGACACACATCCCACACACCTCCTACATACTAACCTCAAACCTTAACCACAACAATTTTATATACTTTTCCAAATCTCCAAACTTAAGATCTCACAACCACACTCAATAAAATAATCACCAACATACTACATTAAAATAACAACTCATAACACCACCTTAAAACTGGCCCAACCTCATTCTCTTCATTCATCACCTTTAAACCAAAATAACACCCTCAATCAACTTCTCATCCATGAAAACCTCCAAAAAACGGATCCAATCTCTACTTTTCATCAACCAAACAATGTATGAAATCTCCCTGAACATGACTCACTACCCTGCCACCTCCACCAAACTCCTCCGCGACCCTCGTCGTTCTCTTCCATCACTCACGACAACAATAATTTCAGCGCACCGCCTGCTGCAACAACAACAACACCGCGACAACTTCAATGTTTCGATTAGTTCCGATAAACGCAGTAGTAGTAAAGCTTGTTGGTAACGTTTCGTTCAAGTCTCTTTGTGTATTATTGTTAATTTATCGCGTTGTTTGATTTGAGTTTGACATTTTTTTCATCGCATTGAGCTTTGTGTTTTGTTCAAGCTTGTATTCTAAGTTCTGTTACTACTGTATTGTTTGGGCATCTTGTTTTCAAATCCTGTTAATGTCCTTGTACTTGGAGTTTGTTTGTTGAGAGTTCAAAAAAGCTTGCATTTAAGAAGGGAAGTGGTTGTTGAGCATGAACTGTGTTCTTGTTTGTGTGTGAAGAATGGAATCAATGAAAGAGAGCATGAGAGCATAGAGAAATTCACGTGTGAGAAGCATGAGGGCGAGAGAGAGTGACATGAGAGAAAGCATGAGAAGTTCACGAGTGAAGAAATTGATGAAAGGTTTTTGTCATTTCCTTTTTTCATGATACAGCAAAACGAGAGAGAGAGAGAGATTTTGATTTGTTGTGTTTTTTCTCCTTCTTCGTGTCTGACATGTGTCAGGATGTAGTTGGGGAAAATGTGTTTTAATTGTGAAAACATACTCTCTCTTCCATCCATGTTTGAAGATTGTTTTTTTTTTCTTCCTAATCTTTTTTCTTTTTCTTTACCTTGGTAATTAGAGTGGAAGATGGGTCTTCATTATTTAGTAGAACCTCTATTCTAACATGCACCATTCTTTTTTTTTTTCCTTTCTTTTTTTATCCTATTATTGTTTTAATTTAGATGACTAATCTATTAGTCACTTATAATTAAGTTAATTAGTTAAAAAATTAGTTATTTCTTGGACTATTACTTTTTTTTATTATAAATTATAGTCAATTAATTGTATATTTAAAGTAATCTGGTTAATTATTAATTTTATTGTGTTTGGATTATTTAATTAATTAATATCTCTATCCATGTTCATATCACATGTGTAAATAATTTCACCCTAGCTTCCTTGGCATTCTTAATCAATTTCAAAACAATTTCAAACCCTTTTTATGGCTCACTAAATTCACTAACCATTTTCTCAATCAAAACCTCAAAATACCTAAAAGTACTCAAACACTCCTCATTAATAAAGATGAAAAGGAGTGGAGTGTAGTTAACGTCTCTCGAGAAGGAGGACGTGAGATATAGTTCTCGACTGTCTGAGCTCTCTCATCAATTCAAAACACCTCAGCACATCAAATTTTATTTTTCCCGCCGCCGTGCGATCCTAAATTTTTTTCATAAACGTGAGATAATTTGTCTTGAGACGACGCAAAACATTACTTTGTCCAAAAACTATTTGAGTTGAGATAAGATGCGTTTCCCGCGAATGTTGATTTCTAAATCCATTCTGTTGTGATGCAAACGTCTGCTCCTCGCCTATTTTGGGTAAAACATTATTTTCTGTCGAATGAGACTAAATATCTTTCGCTAAAATCGACCAACAAACAAATCTCTTTGTACCCAAAACTACGGATGCTCTAATATTTTATTTCACAATGAGAATAAGTAGGCAGAAGGGCCCCAATCCTTGGCGATCAACCTTTTTCATATTTCACCTCAATCCTTGGTGAACAACCTTTTTCTTTTTTCACCCTAATCCTTGGCGAGCAACCTTTTTTCTTTTTTTACTGTAGTCTCCGAACTACGAATGCTCTGATTTTCTCATTGAACTATGAGGATACGTAGGCACGAGAATGCAAAGTCTTGTCGATCCCCCTAGTAATAAAAAACCCTTAGGTCCCTTTTCTCTTTTCTTTTTCCCTTTTAATAAGTTGAGAAACCTAACATTTTTTAACAAACACTACTACGCACAATTAACCTAACGGTTTCCGTTAAGTACAACAAACGTGATGGGGTGCTAATACATTCTCCTTGCGTAACCGACTCCCAAACTCAAATATTGATTGCGATTAGGACTGTTTTCGGTCCGGAACAGTCCGGGTATCCAAGGTCCCGAGAGTTGGACCAAAACCCTAACTGGATAAACCGGGACCGGACCAGAACAATATTTGTTAATTTTTTGGACCGAAACCGATCTGGTACGTTCGGGTAAACTGAGACCAGACCAGATAATGGATGATTTGTTAATGGAGAACCGAGACCAGACCGATAGTTTTCGGTCCGGGTATCTAGACCACTCGAATTAGAGAGGAAAAATAAAATAAAATATTTTAATTTCAAAATTCACAATAAATTTCCATTACATTAATTTTCCAGTTTGACATTACATTTTAAATACCATTCACATAATCACATCACATGTTCAAAGAGAAGTTAATGTGAAAAATTAAACCTTGTTTAAACATAAGTTATGAAACTTATGTTTTGAAAAACACACAAAATATCATTACATTTGTTAATGATGCCTCAGAATAATCTCATCATTGACACTAAAATTATATATGCTCAAGTTGTTATTGGCGAAGAAGCGACAGCCGGATCCTCACCAAAATGATATGTTAAAGGTTCATCTTGTGGTTCTTCAAGCTGCAAAAGTAAAAAGGAAAACTTTATAAGCACCACAAATATAAAAGAAAAAGCCATATAAATATTCAATTAAAATAGATCATAAGCAAAAGTTACTTACAATACCAGCAGTGCATCCCTTTTTAATTCCATATTTCTCCTTCACCCAATTGATAGGCCTAAAATATACTATTTATTTGACTCGATTTCACGCACGTTATTTAGTATTTTATTTCCACTTTCTTGTATTATGCCTTTGTTTTGTTTCTTTTTCATGTTTTTGTATTTTCAAAGCTACTCGAGAAGAAGTGAAGAAAAACGAGCTAAAAACCCTACTTTCTGAGGAATTGTACACATGGCTTCCACCATGGCAGGCGCCATAGGGGATGTCACACATTGGATAGAAGCCAACTATTGACAACTGCCATGTCTCCCACTCCTTTCCACCCTAGTTCATGTGGCGGACGCCACCTTCACACGGTCATTTCCCTCCCAAAAG